TGCTTGGAGCAAAATTAAGACGAGGGAGTTTTAATAAAAGTTGGAATTCACATGTGTTGGTTCGACTAGCCAATAATCAAGTCTAAGAGTGTGTTTCGTCTAAAAGTACTTTTATCTGATCAAAAGTGGCTGCTACCTTGTTTACACAAGCTTGGGGTTTCTACTATCTCTTGTATAATTTACATATTGTTTTGGTGATAGATTTAATGTGAGAGATGCCGTCGATACCTTTGTGATTTCAATAAGTACCACACATGTTCTCTCTAGTTATCTCCAATCAACGATTTATCCACCATGATCTTCTCACCGGTCTCACATAATTTATCTACCTCTTGGTGATAGATTTAATGTGAGAGACATCATGGATACTTTTGTGATCTGAATGAATACCATGTGGGTTCTCCATATATATTTCCAACATACTACCATCCAACATTAATTTTGCACACACGACGAGTTCATCCTCTGCCTCTTGATTCAGACATACCATTTATGCTATTAATATTCATCTGCATAACTATTCGTTCATTATCAAGTTGAGAAAAACATGCGGTAAATAAATGAAGTAAAAGCTTCAAACACTTTTTGTTAACATCAGTTAGTAAAAATCAAATTCATGCTACATCCAATCTCTCGAAAAAGGGAAGTAGTTCATATCTAATAGAAAAATAACACACGATGACAATTTTTTAAACATGTTTACAATATTCAGTACATAAAGAGAGGAATAGAAAAACCCAGGAAAAATATTGTTGTTGCTTTTCTTGCTCAATCCCTCTCTTTGTCCTGTCTCAACTGTTAAAGCCCTCCAATGGCTGGTCCAAGATTTTTTCTAGAGTAAATCGTAGATAAGATGTTGCAAAACCTGCATTAGTGCTTGCTCATTCATCCCTTAAGTAGTGCTTAACTATTCCTTAAATATGGCGACTTCAATCTACTCCAAGAAATAGAAGAAATTCTTTGAAATGTTGTGAGATTCAGGTATGACTTGTTGGCGATAACATGGTCCATAGGTGATTGGGTTAGGCACTTCGATCTCTATCTTCTGCTATTGGATCGGGCGCATGGGCGTTTGAGCATCTAGCTCTCTATTTGCAAGGCTGAAATTTATGCTTGGGCTACGTGCTCTCGATTTGGATGGTTGGAACTAGTGCTTGAGTGCTTACTTTTGGCATTTGGACATTGTGCTCTTGGTCTAGGTCCTCATGTTTTGCGCTTGAGCTACTTGTGGCACCTTGGTGCCTAGCTCACGGTTAGACACTTCATCTTTGTTGCTTAGGTGTTCGAGATTGGCCCCTGATGCCTGCTAGGTTCCTAGGTGTCTTTTTGCTTTCTCGCTTGCCAAATCTACTGAGCGAAGAATTTTAGTATATTTTCTCACGTTCTTAGCATTTCTTTGTGCACCTGCAAAATTTGAATTTGTATCATTAGTACAATAATAATTCTCAAATAACTCCTGAATAACCATCTATTAGTAGAGCTAATGAAAGATAAATGTGCATGTATTTCACGATTATCATATTATGCCTCTTAGGATGCATCCCTTTGTTGCCAACACAATGTATTTTTTTTTCATCTTTTTATCGTTTTATAAAAAACTAAAAAGCAAAGAGTGTTATGAGAACTAGTAATATAATATTTGAAATGATCCTTGGCCTCATACTTAATAGCAATTTATCGGCAACCACTTGTTGAAGATTTAAGCATCCTACAAATGCAACATTGTTGATTACTTGGGTATATTGGATTCATTACCCTATTCATTCTTCCTGTTTTCTCAAAACAGCTACGATAACTTGGGAACTTTTGTATTCCTATATTTGTCTGGTTCAGGTTAGTGAAGGTATTTCAATAACCTGAATTTAGTTTATTAAGGTGTTCTTCATAATCCTATTTGTTCTTGATGTTGGTTGGAGTCACTTAAGGCCTCGAGTGACCTAAAGGTTTCATCTCATCAAAAGTATTTCAGGTGGGCCTGTGAACTTGCCTACTCGACAAGGCTATCCAATCGCAAAGTAAGCTATTCATTTAGAGTACTTGCTAAGCCGCCCATGAGGTTCCCGCTAGAGTAGCTTGTGATTAGTTCTTCTCCTTAATTTATAAATTTTTGAGAAAATATAATAATAATAATAATAATAATAATAATAATAATAATAATAATAATAAT